TGGATTTCAGCACTGTTTCCAGAAATATCAAACAGTGATTTAACTCCTTGACATGTAGCCTTGGAAACTAAACTATAAGCAGCTGCCCCAGATTCTTCACACAATGCCAGGTTTTTCTTCTTTGTATTCAAATATAAGTAATTACTTGGCCTTTGAAATGATAGATGGTTAAGGGGGCGTTGTGGGGTCTCACTGCAGCCTTCCAATGGCAGAGCCAGATGGTAGCAACAGCTGTGCCAAATCCCCCACGAGGTGAGAGCAGGCACTGGTGAGGCTCTATTTGAACAGCTGCATATGCAAATGTAATTAACTAGGTGTTGCTGGCTTTTTCTGCTCCTAGGCACAGTAGGCTCCCTGCTTAATCATTTCCTTAAAGAAAAAGGAAGAGAGGCAAATCACTCCACATTTTAAAACTAGATATGTTAAAACTATAAATAATGAATAAAATTAACGGTATTATTTGGATGTCAGTATTTATGACTGGCAGATACAAAATCCCAACTAAAGCATCCCAACTCTAGATGGAGTACTCTGAATTTCAGATTTCAGCTCTTGAAAGCAAGATAAAATTAACTGAGCTTGTTGCTTTTCGTTTTGTTTTGAGAAGTCCCTGGGAGTTGAGAGGATGTATTGTCAAGATTATTTTTTTCTGAAGATCTTCATCACAGACTCTTGCTAAATAATGAAGTGATTGTTGTATGATTAAAGCCTAAGGTTTAATTATAACCATGCTATAGGCTGTTTGGGTGACTTTGGCAAGTCAACTTAACTTTTTCTTTATTCTACTAGTAGGAGAGAGTGGAATAGGATAGAGAGAATTGATGGCAGTCAGATGGAGATAAGCTCATTAATATTGACAGCAGTGTGGAAGAAGACATGCCATTGTCCTGTAAGTATCTGCTGCTTACGATCCTGCAGTCAGTGAATTATAATGCACTGAGCAAAATTATCTGAACCGTAAAAGTTATTAACACACCACAGGAGTTATAATCTTCCAAATGCATCTGACAGACATAGAGAGGTGTGTGTGATATATTAGTGCTGGAGTCCTGCATTTGAAGTAAACAGCAACTCAGTCATTACAGTGCTTCAGTTCAAGGTACACCTACACGACTGCATTAAATCATGAGCTGGTTCAGGTTTTTAGAAATCGGTTTAACATCACATGGTTTTTGTGTCAGTGTGGGCACTCTCATGGAGCAACTTTTAGTCCATTGTAAGCTGTGTGTTATATGGGTACTTTGGTGCTCCAGGTCCCGGTTTTTCCACTGTACTGGGAAATAAATTCTTCACCTTAACCATACCTTGTGCCCTTCTTGTGGCAGAGAACCCAGAATCAGCAGCTTTTATTTAGCAAAGCCAGCATCAGCAACCCACAACACAGGCTACAACCATTTCCTCTGTCTTTTAACAATCATTATGTCTGATCTAAATCACGTTTTTTAATATCTCACACACGTTTTCAAGTGGCATAACACTAGATTGACGGAAAGCTAAAACAGAAACAGATGAGGGGGAATCCCTTTGTACTTGGCACCCAAAACTTCATAAACCCCACATATCCCCACAGATACTATTTAATTCAGCACAGGTGATCACACATACCAGAATGAGCTTTTAAAAAAGAAATCATGATCAGAATTGATATAAAATAAACAACAGGGGTGTTTAAAAAATAAATAAAAACACTTTCTCACCAAAAAAAATCATGCTTGGCTGTTCATCATTTAGCTGAAGATTTTTAATTTGCTTTCAACCATGCAAAAACAGAAGTTTTACGATGTGTAGTTGAGCCATAAGTCACACAACAAGCCAGTGTTACAACCTTTTGGGCAATTTCTCCCTAGGCCTCATGGCCAAAGCAGACAATACTAATTACATAGAAGCCACTAATGGACACTGTCAGGACTGGGGCCATGCCAGAACCATGTAATCTTAGTGCATGCAGGATTGGCCCCATCCCTCTGGGGAGAACTGCTCCAGAGATTGTAGGACTGGGTCCTTTCCCTGCTGCTGTTGCCCAGCTCCTCAGGAGGGCCACCTGGGGAAGCTGAAGACTGGGCTATATGAGAACAGGCTTTCCTTACAGACCTTTGCCTCAGCAAGGAAGGTCTCTGGTTCTGCTGTTATTGCTGCCTTTCCTTTCCTTGTGTCCCTGGATCCTGTTGCCTTGACACTATTCCTCCTGGCTTTGACTCCTGGACCGTCTGACCATGATTTGCATCATCCTTCTACTTGGCCGCTGTTTAGACTCAAAACCTTAGCTGGTTGGTCTCTGCTTGGGCTGTGGGGTTGTTTCTAGAAACAGTGTGGGGATGGCACTGAGGTGAGGGAGCTGTTCCACTTCATGTTTGTGGGCACCTGGTCCCATAAATCAGCTGGGGGATATTCTGCTGAATTATGGGTTGGAGTCCCCAGATGCCAAAAATTCCATCCATGCAGTTAGGGTCACTTCCAATTTGGCCCTCATTTCTATTCAACGCACCCTCTAATGATCAGCCCTACTGGGTGGGGCTCTCCCTTTCATGTGCGTGACTTCGCCCCTGTGTGCGCACACAACTCCCTCCCACATGTGGGCTTCTGTCATGACTGGAACCGAAGGGGTTGAAAATGATTGCGGCGTGGGGGAGGAGGAAAGCTGTGTGGAGGGAGGCGCAAATGAAATGTGTGGAGGGAGGCACAGTTGTGTGCAGGCATGCGCCTTGGAAGGAAGCTTGCTTCTAATTGTGCAAAACACCCTTCCTCTGTCCCACTTCCTACAAGAAAACTACTGTGCCTAGGCACCCTTCTCTAAACTGGGTCTCACAGTTTAGAAGTAAAGGATCAGCAAGGCGTGAAATGCCAAAACACCTCTTCAAGGATAACTCGATGGGGAAAAAATTTGTATCCATCACAAGCAGAATGGTAGCAATACCATGGAAAGTGACTGAGAATACTCCAGACAGCTAGACGGAGAATATGAAAAGAGGTAAAAAGGAAAAAATAAAAATGGAAAAATTCAACCACCAGGAAAAAGTTGTTTGGAGAAAATCATCTTTTGGTTCATACCCAAGGCAATTGTCCATGCAGTATTTGGAAGGAACACTGGCATAACCTTCTGGCAAACAGGCCACAGGAAAGATTTACTTCATACCACAAGGAACTAAGGTCTCAACTATGCTAAAAATAAAATGTACATGCATAGCCTACATTAGATGAATAAACCCAATGTTTTGTAGTCCTGTATTTATCAAGTCAATTTTTTTTTCAGAAAGCTATGGAAGGTGGAAAGTACATTGGAAAGATGAATAAGACAGCACATATTCTGTAGAAAACAATTTTAGAGAAAAGGGAAAAATCCTTTAGAATGTCATTTGGATTAAATAACACTTGTTAAAAAAACAGACAACTTTTGTAGAGTACCTTAAAATTGATCATTCCTGACAGATTAAATACAGTGAAGCACATTTTTATTAAAGCAGACAAAAATTAAAGCCATGATTTTTGTTTGCCTCAAAAAAACTGTCAAAACTAAAAACGAAGAGACATCTTGCCAATTTCTCCAATGGGGATTTCCTAAGGATAATGAACTGCAATGCCATCTTGTGGAATCAGAGAAAATCATATTTTCTGAAACAACCACATCTTATCTCTTCACTGCATACAGAGTATGTTCTATCACCTCTACTGGGTATTAATTTTCACAAACTGTCAGCCACTTTAGATTCTTTGGGCTCAATCCTAACTAGCCATGAGGGCTGGCTGGCACTAAGCCAGCTGAGGCCTTGCTGAATCCAAATCCCTTCCAGCCAAAGGAGGTTGGAAATTAGTCAGTACTACCTTAGCTGCGGCTTAACTTTGTGCTGGCACAGTGGCTATAAGTCTGGTCTGAGAAGGGTTTGGATCTGGAGTTACTCAGCTACTGTCCTTCTCTGTCCTCCTTTTTTGGTCCTACTACCAGCTGATCCCAGCCATTCAGCAGCTATGCTGGCAGATCCAGTCGCGCCAACCGACCTGAGATCAGCAAGCACAAGGGCAACAGTGTCAGCAAAAGGCTGTTGTGCCATCACAAGCAGCTTCTGCCATTCCCAATTCTCCACAACCAGTGTATCTTTCAAGTTTGGACTGCACTACCCTATCATGGGAAACACAAAATAAATATGTAAAAAAAAACCACCCTGAAATATAATTTCTCTAGATATAAACTAGTCAGTCTAACATAACTTCACTGCTGTTTTTAATTTTTTTTAAAAAAAACATGTTCATTTACTTCTGCAGTAAAAATGGGCTGAAGATTTTGCCTTAAACATATGGTAAACTGCCCGGTGAATAAAAAAGGAAATTAATGAACATTAAGAACTCTTAATCTTCAGATCAACTGTTTTGCACTCCAAATCTCATAAAATTTAACACAATTTACATGTACAGTCCATCTTGGAACACGACAGAGCTGTAGATCAATAATTCCCCAAATGTTCTTGGACTACAACTGCAAGAAATCCTGGCCAGCACAACTAGTGGTGAAGGCTTCTGGGACTTTGAGTCCTGGAACATCTGGGGACTCAACGCTGGGAACTACTGCTGTGGATGTACATTCAAATGCTATTCCACCATCCAGATGACTGGTCCATGCTGCTTTGCACTTAAGCAGTGTACTACATGGAAGTGCTGAGGTATCTGAAGTGGTCTTGATGTGAGTGAACGCTACCTCAGCTGAATAACAGGGTGGGGTGATAAACCTAATGGAACTGCTATTGAAATAACAATCTTTCTCTCCTCATCCTTTCTCTCAGAAGCAGTAGTTGCTTCAAAATGTTCTTAATCCAAAAGTGACCCTGTGAAACTATTAACAAGAGACAATAAAAGGTTATATGACAATCTTTGTGATTAGTGATATCTGACTCTTCAGTCATGTATTACAAGTAGTTTAGACTTTTCAGTTTCAAGTCATATATATTGGAATTTACAACATCTTAGCCAGTCTAAAACAAAAAAGAATTTTAAGTCAAACCATAGCTTACCACAAGACGTTGACTTTTTCTCCACCATCATCACACGCCTGGTTTGGTTCCGCAGTTTGTCGTCAGTGTTTTCAACCAAATTGGCTAAATCATCAATGATTTCTAAAAGGAAGAATATTACAGGATATCAGTATTTTAATCTTTCCATCGCTGACTACAAACAAATAAGATTATAACATTTTAAGGCATATTTTCAGTGGAGGTTACAGAGATGGGGGCCGTTTCAGCTCTGGAAGTTACCACGCGGACGCCACCACAAAGCATCATGTAGCCATAGCCTACACAGGTGCTATACAGTACCTACATAGTACAATAGGCCAATACAGATGCTGTAGCCAGGACACAAATGATTCAGGGAAAGATGGAAGTCTTGTATTGTTTATGTAGGGTGCCTACATGGACACATTCTCCCCAAAAGACTGTATTGGCAACAAAGCACAATGATTCACTAAAGGTGAATCTCCAAGTGAGCTAAGCTTAAAAACTGGCTTTTTAAAATCAGTCCTAAAAGTACATTCACTGTACCATATTATATCATAGATTTCATCCAGGGTTTCAAACAAAGAATATTAGTACCTTTGTATATTCTGGTAACATAATTTCTAAAGAGAGTCGGTGGGAAGAATCAAAGACTAATATTCAAAATGTAATTCTATTCAAATAGCTTCCCTATAAAACATGTTCCTTACCTCTGTACTTTGTATACCTCCCTGCAATATATCTCTTTTCATTGAGAACTAGAAGAGTAAGATAGCTACCAAGTGCTAATTCCATTGATCATGTATAATAAAATATTAAAGTTAATAAAAGTACAGTAAATTATTCATATTAACCTTAAGAGAAACTATTTAATCAACACAAATAAATTTAAATACATAGAGAATTGAGTTATGTGACTCAGTATAACATTGATAATGTCGAAAGTGGTTTCTTAACTTCGGGCAATTCATTTTCGTAAGGTTTCAATATGGTTAAAATGATCCACAGCTTCTCTGTTTCTTGAAGCAGTTCTGCAGCAATTTTCCAGCAAGTTTAATAGCCTTTCCCCCTTTGGTTAGTGTTTGTATAATTTATTTAGTTATGAAAAAGAGCTTACCACTTTTATTTTTGTCAAAAATGCCTGCTCTTTACCTTAATAATGTTAACTGAAAAAGGAAATTTGTGATAATCAGTTTTTACTTGCAAAATAACTTCCATGTTAATAAGACTGTTTGTTATTTCCTTAACAGTCTCATTGGTTAGGGATTATATGACATCAGAGAAGCAGAGAATTGCAATTCACTTACATGTATACAATCTCTAACTATTATAATTGTTAAAGGAAGTAAAGAACTGTCCACTCAACAAAGACTATAACAGTTTTGTTCTGGGAAATAAATACAGTACCCTTATCCACGGGATCAGTATCCACAGATTCACTTATCCACAGTCTGAAAATTTTTAAAAAATATTAAAAATATTAAAAAGGAAAAAAATCCAAACAAAAGTATTTTCACACGTATTGGGAGAACTGGCCATTAGAGGGAGCAAGAGACCATGTTATGAATACTTGTTAGTGAACAACACATAGCATCTTCCTCTAGTTGCCTGTTCTGGTGATGCATGTGACTCCCCCCCCCTCCAAACAAAAGTATTTTCACATGTATTGGGAGAACTGGCCACTAGAGGGAGCAAGAGACCATGTTATGAATACTTGTTAGTGAACAACACATAGCATCTTCCTCTAGTTGCCTGTTCTGGTGATGCATGTGACTCCCCCCCCC